GCATGATTAAATATAACATCTTATGTCGCTATATCTTGAAATTCTATCCATGAATTTCACATGCTTCTCGTTGTGGCTCACAACCACTGACATCGTTGAATTTTATTCAAAGTCGGAATAAGAATCAACATTTCAAATCACGAGTTAGGTGAATCAGTGGGGTTACCATTGTTTCGTGTAAAACACGTAATCAGAATTTGTAAATATTCCAATAATAAATTGAAAGTTAATTCAATTTGTTTTACCATTTGTTTCTATTGAACAACAAAATTTAATTAGAAATTAAAATTCTAAAACAAAATTTGTAACAATGCTGTTACCTCCAAACGATTTTTGTTATCAATAGTAAATCAAATAAATTTTGTTGAACAACAGGATTAAAATCCTAAAACAGAGTTATAGGCCATATTTTTGTTCATCGACATATCATAATTTCGTTTCGGCACCTTATTTATCGCAACGAATTTTAGTCAAAACTAAAATCCAACAATTGAATAATTTCTATTAAACGATGAGAATTTTGTAAAATTAAAATCCCGAAACAGAAATTCATAATCAACAATCTTTTTGTTGAATCCGTTAAAGGTCAAGATTTAGTAAAACTAAAATCTGAAACAAATCAACTTCTGTTGGACAATGGGATTAAAACCCGAAACATAATCAATTTCTATTGAACGATGAGAATTTAATAAATTAATTCTCGAAACAGAACTAACTTCTGTTGATCAGTGGGAATTTAATAAAACCTTAAACAATAGTATAATCTCAATGTATAAATATTATAAAAGAAATATTGAATTGTTACACATACATTTTCGATTTCTTGATCGAAATTCCAATATTGCCAACTTTTCACACTTGAAACAACGTAATCCTTATCCAATTTCTGGAATTGCATATCGGACATTTTGTCATATGTTCTACTACCTCCTTTTCATTCTCAATTTCTCCACTAGATATAGACAAATCAAAATAAACGTGCGGTGCATGGCTTATAGGCAATTCAAAACAAAAGTTCCTTACTGCACAAAAGTTAGTGTGAATGTATCTCTAAAAAGTCTCAATCTTAGTTTCTTGCGTTCAAAGTTTCAAGGAAGTGATGGTAAATATTAATCAATAAAGAAAGAAGCAGTACATGCGTACCAATTTAAAGGCCACTACCCAATTTCCTAAATTATACCAGTTGAACGTACCAATTTTTGTATGCGACAGAGAAACCAAATTGCATTGATCTCCATTGTTTGGATTAATATGAACCCTAGACCCCATTCATAACAGTCTTTGTCGGGCCTCCCTCAGAGGTGGGTAATCCACGCTTTTTTCTTTTGTTTGTATTTGTAATTCGTCTTCACTATCAAATAGAAAAAAAAAACACACACACACACACCGCAAAAGGACCTCTGATTTATTAGCGAGAGTCGAGAATTAAAATCCTTCTGATAGAAAGAAAGTGATGATGATTTCCATGATTATTGCTTTCAACCAAGATATTGTTCTCCTCGATGTGGTTCTTTTCTCGCGAGTTATATTATGCTTTCATACCTGGACTTCGCATATTAGCACCACATTTGATTGATTTCTTAAGTTGCTCTGCGTTCAATAAGCATGGAATTGACCAGAAAGACGTTTGGCTTTGTACGCAATAACCCCAAACATAAAGGGATTATAACTATATATATGTGTATATATCCATATGGATTCACATTCCAAACATGCAGACTCGATCACTAAGAAAAATCAATTCATTTTCCCACTGGTCGATTGTCGCATGGCTTAGATTAACTCAAAAATATTTCGTACGGATTAAAATCGTAAAATAAAATATGAAATATGTCTTAAGATTGTTTGACAATATGGTTAATCCGAGATGATAATAATAATAATAATAATAATATATAATCGAACGAAGTAAAATAAATAAAACTTAAAGTAGAGGCAAGAAATTGATTTACTCATATTTAGACACTGAATTAGATGAGTAGAGTATGATAAACCGAAGAAGGATTTTTGTTGAGGCCTGTATGAACATTTTCCTTAAGACAGATTTGTCATCTCATCGGTGCTTTGAGTAACGTTGGACGTCGGTCTCCCAGGATACAAGAACAAACTATCACAACAGTAAGCATAACCATAGTGATCAGTCGAACACAATCTTACCTTTCTCTATCACCGGAAAGAATGAATTTGGAATGAATTTTCTAAATGTTTTTCCTATTCCAAAGTTCTAAACTAGCCTTTCTCTATCACCGGAAAGAACGAATTTGGAATGAATTTTCTAAATGTTTTTCCTATTCCAAAGTTCTAAACTAGCCTTTCTCTATCACCGGAAAGAACGAATTTGGAATGAATTTTCTAAATGTTTTTCCTATTCCAAAGTTCTAATCTAGCCTATATATAGGGAGAGAAAATTGATTGAAAGGTTAAGACCTTTCGATGAAAGGACTTAATCTTTCAATTAAAGGACTTATCCTTTTGATGTAAAGTGCATAATATTTTCATAAAAGGATTTAATCTTTTCATGAAGAGAATTATTGAATAAGTATGATTGTTTGGATGCAACTTTAAACCAAAAATTAAGTCCATTCATCGAGTGACATGACTTGTTATTAATTAGCTATAAATAGCATCAATTCATCCAATACTTTTTCCAACAATTGTTTGTCTTAAGGGGAAGTCTCTATTGGTGGTGATTATGAAGCTGGCTTGGAGTGGTTTTGTGTACAACATCTGGTTGGAAAGGAATTCTTCTTGTTTTCAGGGAAAGAGTTGTTCTAGTGAGGATCTTCTGTCCTATATAAAATCTATTGTTCGTATACGGTTACTATGTAAGAAGTTAGATAGGGTTGACAGTGTAAATAATAGACGTTACATAGCTTGGGGGCTGAACTAACTCTCGGTTTAGGGATTTCCTTGTTCTTTGTAGTATACTTTGTTTTCTTGGATAATAAAAAGCAACTTATCCAGAAATTAAATTTTTAACTCAAATTAATGAATATTACTTAGGTCAGCCTTGTTGGGAATTTGGGCCTCCGATAATTTCTAAAAATTCTACTCAACAACATTGCCCCAAAGCCTCATGAAGTAAAATGGAAACCCTACGATTAAAACTAACAACTCAATCAAATGCTTGCACTATGTAAGGTCTGGGCCACTATCACTCGCCCGCTTTCTTGCCTTCTTTAGTGATCATATCGGCCACATCTTTTAAAATACATTTCTCATTCCCCCTCATCATTTTTAGGGTAAATTTTATCTTTTATCATTGAATTTTATGAGTTGTATCATTTATGCCATTAAAATTTTAAGAAAAAAACACTAAAAATTGGTTTACATTGATTTTGCAACAACAAAAAAAACTATATCGAAGAATAATTTGAAGAAATCTTGTCATATCCTGTTCAAACACTTATTAGAAGATTTTTTTCTTGTAATTAGATAAAACTGAATCTATTTTTTTAAGATTTGTGTAGATGTGAGCACATCTTAACTATAAATATAAATAGATTTACATCTGGTAATATCTAAACCAGAAGTAATACCCGATGTAGATGGCAAAAACCAGATATTAATTACTGCAAAATCAACACAGATGGAACCAAGAATCGGAATAATGGAGAAGCAATGTGCAGTGTGGTCGCTAGAGATTATAATGGAAACTGGCTTTGGGGATTTGGCAGGAAAATATGAATATGTACTATATTGGAAGCAGAACTGTGGGGTATACATGAAGGCTTAAAAATAGCTTGGATGAAAGGAGAAAAAAATGCGATTTTGGAATCAGACAATAAGGAAGCTGTCAACCTTATCAAAAGCAGATCGATTGAACACATGCAATTAACAATTCTTCAACACATAGAGAATTTGTTAAGGAGAAATTGGGTAGTGGATCTTTAGAACATACCAAGGGAGGCCAACCGCGTTGCTAACTTTGTCGCCAAGCAGATGTAGAAGCACCAGGAAAATACAATTTTCTGCAAAATTACCCAAAGGAAGCTGAGGAGTTGCTATTAGCTAATAAAACAGGCAACTAAGCGGCTCATTCACCTGTATTCAATAAAAAAATTAGACTGAGTTCATTCATTACGGGGAATTCAATTGTAAAAAGAGACTCTTGAGCTCTCTTAATTAATAAACTTTTTTATCATTATTTACAATATATTTTTTATTAGTGGTAAAGAAATTATTGTTATTTCTTAAGGTTTCGGATTTGAGTATTAAAAATATTAGGGGTATGTGTGTTCAATGTCAAATGATTGAGAATTATATTTAAATAGATATTACCTTATATTTATCTTAAATTAATAAAAATAATTAATCAAGAGCTTAATCGTTTAGGTATTGAATTAACTCCTCGGGATCGAGGACCCCCCATTTTGCGCGTTTCTTTTACAATTAATTTTTCAGCTAACGCACATGTTATTATGGGTAAAAAATAAATTAAAATAATTAAAATTAAGAAAACATCTTATAATTATATGATGATATGTCATAATCTAATTGGTTAAATTTAATTAAATCAATAAGATATGTAAATATTGAAAATTAAATGTGTAACTATATAAATGATTTTTACAATATATCAATATTTTTGTTAAATGTTAACTATAAGTGGATTAAAAAATTAAATAATTAGGTGTATAAAAAATATAATTAATAATTAATAATGAAGATAAAAGTGGATAATAATTAAGTGGTTATAAGTATAATTTACCCTAAAATGCAGGATGCACGGAAAGATATGTGGGATCGCCCTCATAATAACACATTCTTCATGAGCATTTGCAGGAGGGGGACAGCAGGCTTCACCACGTACCTGATTCTCTTTCTGTCGGTGAGAATAGTTAAAAAGTGAATGGCAGATCGGTAATTGTATGTAAAATCAAGCCCTCTTTATGAAAGACACTCCAACAGAATAGTCACATTCGCATTTCACACTATCGCTGCTCGGTGTACTACTAGTACTAGTATTTATAATTGCACTTTTAACCAAAATAATCCATTCGATTCTTTTTCTGATTCCTAATCAAATTTTATCTTTTTCTAATTTCTGTTTTTTAAATGATTAATTGAAAAAAAATAGCAATTCCTTCTCAAAGGTTTCATTGCTAGCGTTGAGAAATGATCGAGTGGATCTCGTTTGTATTAAATGGAAACGGAAAATGATGAAGTTGTACATATCAACAGCAGGGATAAAGAGGGTTACGATATCCAACTCGATTGAAGGAAGTGGGAGTAAAGGAGGAGCTACGGTGGCAGCAACCAGTGCTGCGACCGCGCGTGGACGGCTATCAAGCCGACCGCTGTTGCCGATTCTCTTGGTATTGGGGATTGTTTTGCCTTTCCTTTTCGTTAGAGTTGCCTTCTTGGCTCTTGAATCCGCTTCTTCGTCTTCTTGTTCTTCTCCCGTCGGTAATTTCATATTTGCTCCATCCAATTCGTTTCAACTGAATCTTACTATTTTTTTTTTTAGAAATTCATGCTTTAATGGTGTTGTTTGTACCTTCGATTCGCGTCTCTCGACCAGTCGATTGTACTGTATATTTTGTTTTGGCTGAAATAGAATGAAAACAAATAATTGTTATTGTTGGGAGAATTATTCTTTGAGCTGCTCACAGATATACAAATTCTCTCTTAGCCTTTTAAGCTATTATTTTCTAGTTGCATAAAGGTTAGTTTAAAGTTAAAATTGTTTAATATTATTTGTGTTTCATTGATTTTATTTAAAAAAAATCAATTATTGACTTGAATGGGATTTGCAGAATGTAAAGGATGGAGGCTTTTTAGCAGGGGTTACGTATCTCAGGTTAGTAGACTAAACTTCCTATTTTTATTTATTTTGTTTGGATTTATTTATTTTTAAATTTTCTCATAAAAGAATAATATAAAGGGTGAATTATGAGTTTAGTACCTAAAATATCAGTTTTGATGAATTTTAGTACTGGAACTTTCAATTTTTTTAAAATCATACCTAAAGTTTAGTTTTTGTTTCATTTTAGTATCATCGTTCAAACTTTAACCTTCAATTTTAAAAAGATTGAAAGTTTAGGTATTAAAATGGATCAAAATTAATAATTTTAAGTACTAAACGTGTTAAGTTTTAAACTATAGGTACTAAAATAAAATGAAAATTAAACGATAAGTATGATTTTGAAAATAATTAAAAGTTTAGGTACTAGACTAATCAAAATCGATAATTTAAATACTAAAAGTCTAATTTACCCTAATAGAAACAAGCAAGGAAAAAGGACGTAATCCGATTGACTCGTGCTAGGGGGTAGTATGGGGGAATTGAGCGGCCTCTTTGTTTTCTAGCATTTGTATCATTGTCGAGGATAGGATATAGGATAATTACACTACACTTTGATTTTAAATCTAAGATCATATAATATGATCGTAGATTTGATATACGAAGGGATTTTTTTGGTAAACAGCTTTAAACTCTTTCAGTTAATCTTTAATTATTTATTTAAATATTAAAGTTTAATTCATAATCTTTTTATATTTTTTTAACTTTAAATTATACATGATTTTTTTTTAATTTTGCTTTTGGAACCATTTAGAATAATGAAACCATGTTAGGCGTTAAGTGACAAAAATAAAAGTAAAATTCAGATGCCATATGACACGAGTCGGTTAGTACAAATTGTGCTGAGGTGCTAAATGAAAATATGAGTGTAATCTAAGGGCCAAAAAGAGATAAAATGAAGTTTAGAGTGTAAATGGGAAATATATATATATATATATATATTAGAGGTTAATTTATGAATTAAACAAATAATAAATAAAAATTTATAACAAAAGTTTAAAATTGTTTGTTAAAAAAATCTATCATTGAATCATATAATCTTATAATTTTATACTATATATAATAGAGAATACCATGGTTTGATATATTTTTATGGCTTATATCATAAATAAATACTTAAATTATATATTTTTTCATTTAAGTACTTAAAATATATCATCTTTTTTATTTAGGTATCTAAAATATTTTTTAATCAATGCTAGATGTCAACTTATAAGAACCTAAAAGGAAAAGAATGATGTACTCCTTGCATTTAAATAAAAAAAGATAAAAAAGTTCAATACTTATTTTGATAAAAAATAAATATTTGACTAAAAATAATAATATACTTTAAATACTTATTTGTAATATAAAACTATTTTTATTTTTATTTGCAGGCCTTATTAACTTTGTTGGGTTGTAGTATCTAAAAGCTTACCAGTGTACCTCACCGTCAAGGTTAGGAAGAAACCCGAATCAAAGTCAATTCTAACTACTAGAATTTAGTTTGTTTATATATAATCAAATTAAATTGTTTGTATCAAGACTTGAATGGCTTGAAAATTGAAGGCGTGTACTTAGTACTTATACTAGAAAATTAGGATGGGAAATATATTTCAAAAGTGATTGGAAAAGTTTTCAACTTGCAAAGTTATACATTTATGAAAATTTTCTGTTTAACATTACGTTTAAAAAGTATTTTTAGGTTTAAAAGTACTTTTGTAGTCATACAGAACAGTACTAAATACATTTTTTAACAAAAAATGCATTTGATTACATTTTCATTATGTTATCAATGAAAACTAGTCAAATGGTAGATCTTTTGCTTGGTTTGGAAGAAGTCAAAAGTATTCCCGGCAGCAGCAGCAGCTCATATTGTTTATGTAAAAGCATGCTATCATCTTTAGTCATCATGTACGTCAACACGGCTTGGTGAAATCAATGATTTGAAAGGCCTGTAGTCTTTGTAGAACGAAGGGCGCATAATACATGTTTGACGTAGATAATTATGATAAAATATAAATAAATACAAGTAAAGGCTATGAAGCGTGGACATTCATGCAAGGGTGTCTATTATCATGCCGGTTTCTTGATTTTTCTAAGCTGTGTCATGTTGTACTGTAGTTGGTGTTCTTATTTTGTACTTCCTAGCTTGTAAATGATCATATCTGATGTAGTTTGTGATTGTCATTGCCATGCATGTACCATAAAGAAACTCAGAGAAGAACTGGCAAGGGCACTAATGGAAGTGAAAGATAACATTGTTGAGGGGACAACAGACGGTTCACTTGAAACATTCAATGACCTTGTGAAGGAGATGACGTCAAAGCAGCAAGATATAAAGGCTTTTGCTTTCAAGACTAAGGCCATGGTATTTTACTCTTGCTCATTTTGTTCTCGTCTTTATGTACGTGGATATCCATTTCTGCTCTTTCAGTCATTAGTATCAGTTTTTGTAATTTACTTCATTCATAATGAGATAACTTACTCTTTTCTGAACAGTGCCAGACAAATGTTTTTACAGAATTTTTATTGTATTGTATTGTTTTGTTCTTTTTCATTTTTAGTTGATGTGAATCAAAGCTAGGCTTAATTAATTTAGAATTTGTAAGAATTAAGACAACTGAAATATCCTTTGATACTACCAACATGTTTATTATCATGATTTATGAAGGGTGATATTAAGAAATTCTGTGTATAAATAATGTATTTTGTTATTTGTTCAGTATGTAACTTTCAATATATGTAAACATTTCAACATTCCTTTAAAAATTTGAAGTACTTCCATTTTTTTATTCCCAGCTTTTAAATATGGAGCAGAAGGTCCAGTCAGCAAAGAAGCGTGAGTTAATGTACTGGTATTTAGCTTCAAGGGGTGTCCCAAAGAGCCTACATTGCCTCTGCCTGAAATTGGCAGAAGAGTATGCTGTAAATGCAATGGCCCGCTCTCGTTTACCTCCACCCGAACATGTTTCTCGCCTTGCCGACACATCCTTTCACCATATTGTGCTTCTGACTGACAATGTCTTGGCTGCCTCTGTTGTGATATCCTCTACGGTTGAGAAAGCTTCAAACCCTGAAAAATTGGTGTTTCACATTGTCACAGACAAGAAAACTTACACCCCAATGCATGCCTGGTTTGCGATGTATTCGCCAAAGTCAGCTGTAGTTGAAGTTAAGGGATTACATCAATATGATTGGTCTCGGAAGGTGAACGTTGGGGTTAAGCAGATGTTGGAAATACATCAATTGATTTGCAGTCATTACTACAATAATCTGAAAGAAGAAGACTTTGAACATGGGGGAGAGCATCGAAAAGTTTTCGAGGCTTTTAACCCCGGCTGCCTGTCCCTTATGGATCATCTTCGGATTTATATCCCTGAAGTAATTACTTTAAAATTCTGCATTGAATTTTCTGTCAAGTGATTTGTTCTAAACCTTAAAATTCGGTTGCCATTGATTTGTTCTCAACAGCTGTTTCCGGAACTCGACAAGATAGTATTTTTGGATGATGATGTTGTAGTACAGCATGACATTTCATCTTTGTGGACATTGGATCTCAATGGAAAAGCCATTGGTGCTGTTGTCGATTCATGGTGTGGGGACAACTGCTGTCCAGGGAGGAAATACAAGGACTACTTGAATTTTTCGCACCCGATGATTTCATCAATCCTCGACCAAGATCGTTGTGCATGGCTCTCCGGTATGAATGTCTTTGACCTTGAAGCTTGGAGGAGGACCAACATCACATCTTCTTATCATAAATGGTTGAAGCTTGTAAGTAAACTGTATTCTGCTGGTTAGATTAATGTTGTTTTCCTGTCTATTTAATTGCTCGAACCCGATATCATCCGTTTCATACAGAGCCTCAATTCAGGGTTCACTCTATGGCAACCGGGAGTGCTTCCGCCAAATTTACTTGCTTTCGAGGGACATGTGCATCCTATTGATCCTTTATGGCAAGTGGCCGGATTAGGCTATCGTTCATCATCTGCTCAAGGACATATATTGGAGGCTGCTGCTGTTTTACATTTCACTGGCCCTGCCAAGCCATGGCTCGAGATCGGCTCTCCGGAACTACGAAGCCTATGGAGCAGACATGTAAATTTATCAAACAGCTTTATTAGGAAATGTAAGGTTTTGCATTGGGGTTAGCGGACAAAGCTCCGACTTTTACACATTTCATGAAAAACGGCAATAACGCAATAAGGAAGCAAGCAGAGGGAAGAAGGTTTAGCCTTCAGCCTCTGCATATAGTAGGAAATTGGTAACTGTCATATCCATAATAGAAAATAGATGAAGGCACCTCATGATGTAAGATATAGTACATATCTTCAAGCCTCGACATATATGCTTAATTAGTTAATGATTATATGATTAAATAACGATATGTGGATGGAACCAATCTTGTTGTATTTTGATTGAAGAGATGGATGATATGAATAAGTGATGCATGCATCACACCATGCACTTCAAAATAAGATGGATTAACATTTTTACTTGTCCGATTACTGTCTTCGGACTAAACTATTCACAGACAAATTTCAAACTGTAGTTCAAGCATTTATTAGCAAGGGTTTACACGCGACATGGAGATTGAAGATTTTAAGGAAGGGAACCCATCAATCCTTTCTCCTAAATCTACATGGACAATCACAACTCATCGATGGTCAAAATAGTAGCAAACTTGCAATAACTTTTTAAATGAGATCCAGGTGTTATTTAGTCAACATATCTTCTAGAGATACCATTGTCTGTCTCTTAATTTTTCAACAGTATTTGAATCGCATCAATCATATGTCGGGAACTCAAGATAGTCTATTTTAATGAAGACAATGCATGCAAACAATTTTATACGAGATTAAAACGAGATTTTAAAAATATTACAAATTATAAATATTTTTATTGATTATATGTAATATAATGTGATATAGGATACTTTACTATATTTTAGGATTATATTCAATTAAAAAATCCTTAGTTTCTTATTAATTTATTCATTAGTTACCTAAGACTTTTAAACTTTTCACTTATATAAAGGAGGTTGCATTCAACTTTAAAATAAGATTACTTTAGATTAATAACACAACGATGAGAATATTTTTGCAAGTGTTGATTGTCTTGTACCTTTGAAGCATTCTTCATCATTAAGCTTTTCAAATTTTTCATGAGGGAGATCTTTACACTCCGGTTTACCTTTTCATTGCGATTAGGAGGGTTGGTTAGAGCAATTATCGAGTTTGGCTAGTCAATTGTGGCTAGGAGAGCCTGTAGGACGACTATCTATTACCATCATCAAACATCATTAAATTATCCACCATCACCATAAAACCCTAATTTAACTAAGTGTTCCTATCTTTGATTGAGTTTAGATCTCTAGGCTTGATCAACTTCAAGTAACATTCATCGCTCCACTGTCATCTCTTATCGATTAGTATCAGGTTTGAATCGATTCTTGGAGAAAAGCAAGCAATCTTACTTGTTATTGCATGCATAAACTGTCAAGGTACCCCAATGGAACTAGTTCACAATGATTGGCCGATTTTAAGTTCTTTTTGCATTTTTTTTATTTTTATCTCAATTCATTCTCATTAGTTTGTTATTTTACATCAAAAAGAAAAAAAGACAAAAGACAAAAAAAAAGGAAAAAGGAAAAACCTAAAAAATAAAAAAATGCAAATGGAGGAATTTGGATTGATGTTTTACAAGTAAACTCTTCATCCCAAGAGTAGTCTTCACACAAACATTCAGGTCAATTGGACATCAAAAACCCCTTCAAAAGTACTATTTAAATTTGATCGATAGATTTAGGGTGACCAATGGCGTTGACAGGATTGAAATTAGAGTTTTTTGAAATTTTAGATTTTTTTATAATTTCAAAAAAAATTGGATTTTTTTATAAAAATAATAATTTTAAGTATTCTTTTTAAAAAAAATAAAAACTTTTGATGTTTCATATGGCTGACACATGTCAAATAATGGTTAAATTTAAATATGGTTACAGTCCAAGTACCTAAAAGTGTAACAGAAAAAATATTAGACACTTATTTTTAACGAAAATTTATTTAGATATCAAAAGTTAATTTTGAGTATAATTTAGACACCTATTTTAATATTAAGTTAAATAATATGATAAAGTCATTAATGTTAAAAGATAGTTGCATAACAATAATGTTAACATCGGCTAGCTACTGATCATAAGATAATAAAAAGATATAGACATTTATTACACCGTGGCATAAATTATTATCTTAGAGGTAATTTTTTTTGAATTAGCGTAATCTCGAAAGGAGATGTTATCCCTGAGATTAATATGGTCTTTAAACTTTATAATCTGAAATAAGGAAGTGAAACTTGATTGTGTTGCCTTCTTCGACAAGAAATTTTCGAGTTAAAATAATTTAACCATCAATTTTTGTGTGTACTAATGGGTAGAGAAATTATCCATTTTATAGCAAAGAGATAAAATTATCAAATGACAACTACCTATTCCAACCACTCTCAATATAGATAATCCACTCCCCAAGCTAGATACCCAATATTAACATTAGTTACAATTGATATACAAATAACATTGCAAAGGGATTTCAAAGAGTATTGTTACATGTAAATATGATCCCTTGTGATTCTAAACAACATAAAAACCTTCTTACCCGGTTGAAGAGCCTCCAAGGTTCATTCTAAGGGACAGGCCTCCATTATAATTGTTTAAAGGATCTAACACTCCACATTAAATATTATACAAGAATTATTAATTATTATTATTTTAAAAATATTTTTAAATATTTATGGGAAGTTTAAAACTTTACTAAATAATATCGAATATATATATAACAAAACCATTTTATGTAAATAAAATTTTAAAAATCAAAACTCAAGATCAATATAAATATATCAAGAACCATATTGAACTAAAAATTGACTTATCATAAATAATTTGTAATTTTTTTAAAAACATATGGTTAAATATCAAATTTGTACAAAATTTTTATATTATGTTTGATTTTAGAGATGTATCCAAAATTTTATATTAGAGTTGCAAATTTGTAAAAAAACTATATTAAAAATCTAAGAATACAAATTAAAAAAAATTAGAAATATAAAATTAAATTATCAATAAATAATATAAAATTTTCAATCCCAAAACCCTCTATCTATCCGGTGCATCCAGTTCATGTAGAATGGCAGCTCTAAAGTTGTAAATCAAGTTGTTTTTTATCGAAGGTTTATTGTTTTTTCATCATATCTAAATTACTATGCATTTAAAAAAAAATCTTTATATTTTATAACCCATTAAATTTAAAATTATTAAATATATAAATACATCCAAACCCAATCTCTTCGAAATACAAAAATAATACTATCCTTAATTGAATAAAAATTCAAGCTAGAAAATATTAATGTCTTTCAAGTAACGTAAATACAATCAAGTTCTACATTGATATAGAGGACGTTTACGAGAAGCAAGAAAGCAATTCATGTTGAAATGTGTGGTGTAGGCAGCGTTTAGGGTTACTGAGATATAACAAAAGTAAACTCCAATCGGAAATAATTCACCTTTTAAGTAAACAAAACATTCAATTTTGTATCATTATAATAAAATTATAAAATATAAATAAGATTTAACTAAGGTTTAGAACATGATAACATCGCAGCAGAAGTGGATGTAGCTACTGAGTTGAAGAAATATTTCCAAACAAGGGATGAAAAATCAAGCGTGTTCTATATGTACCAAGAGTTTTAATTAACTTACAAGCATATAACACAAAAATAAACAGTTAAAAGGAGTCCAGTATTGAATCCTATGCTCCTCACATTCATCGCCAACACCTAGTTTCAACTCTTTATAAACTGTATATACTTGCATGGTTTATAGATATATATATATGCTTCACCAGAGATAAAGTTGTTGAACCATTACAGACTGCTGCTGCTTGCATGTCAGCTGCACCAAAATCAGAGAAACAAATATGCATCACAATGTCAGCAATATTTTAATGGTTAGATGGCAATTGAAATAGCCTTTTCCAACTTAATTTATATATATGAAATTGCATGTAATAATTAGAATTGAGATACATGCATGTTTTGTAACCTTGAATTTGTGGATGGAAGGGGAGAAGGTAGGTTATACAAGTTGAAGAGCAGTTTGGTCTTGGTTGGAGTAATCATTACTGGGTTCCACCAGGTTTAATGGCAGAAAGTTGCGATTGTAGGAGTCTTGCATCAGCTGGCTTGATTGTTCCTGTTCCCTTTCATTTTCAGCTATCTGCATCCATACATAGGTATGATATCAAACATCTATGATGATGATGATGAGCATCTAACACCTCCGTCTATAATTGAAACTACACAGACAGGGACGCTTACCTTTGCTCTCAGGTACATGTTATCATTCTGCAGTTCAACTTCCTACAAAACATATCTGTGAAGTTGGAAATTCTGGGGGTTTGAATATATAAAGATATAAAAGACGGGACGAAAAGTTACCCTCTTTTGCATGAACCCAATTTCTGCAAACAGTAATTCATTCTGGTAGAGTTGAAGAATGTAGTGAGTGTTGGATAAAATAAACAAAGATATTATTAATGAGGAAAAGGTGAAGTAAAAAAGAACCTTTTTGGATCTGATTCTACAAATGCCTTTCTCCAGTCTGCCTTCCAGGTTCTTGAGTTCCTTAAAGGTCAAAGAGCTAAGAGCCTCTCCAAGGATATGCCTTGAAAAACACATCCATCATTTATATGTATATGTATATGTATATGTACATCTATCGAAGAAGAAGAAGAAGAGGGTTACCTGTTCATGTTCTGAACATCACGAATTTGTCGTCGGAGTTTGGTGGCTTCTTGCTGGTAGAACTGAGAGTTCATTTGGATTTTATTTTGTGTAGGTGAAGATGATTAATATACTAGTAATTGGTATATAAGATGGATATGGGACTTGCCTGAATGTTGGCTTCAGCAACGGAACCTGGGTTTGTGGAATCTGAACATGCTTTCTTGTATCTTTCAATCGTTGCTCTCACACTGCAAACATTAATAAACACAATGCAATCTTTACAACTTCACATTCTCAATTTATGTAAACATGGAATAAGAGTAGCAGCATAACGCAATTTCAAAATGCACGGTTACATGTTACTTTTTTATCACGTGATCAAAGATAAATAAAACTAATTTTAACCGTCTAAAAAATCTTTCTACTTTCTTTTCCTAATTTTCCCCTTAAACTGTGGTAAATTATCTAAAAGTAAGAAATATTAATTAAAAAAACTATCTTATTATGAAAAAAGGTAAATAATGTCTAGATTTTATTTACATTTCCT